AGAAATATTAATAGCACAATAAAAAGACGCTTCACTACATACATATTAATGCAAACGAAGGTAAGATAATCACGAAAACGAGGGTGAAATATGAGTGCGCACGTACCTCAATGTATCCGGCTAGACTCGGAACAGCGATGGCCAGCATGAGCACAGACACGGCCGGGACTGAACACATCTTCCACGGTTACTCTCTGCTGGGGTTTGTGCTGAAATTATCCCGCTGTGGATTCTTACAAGAGGCTATAAAACAGAAAACAGCTCGGTAAACGGTCCTCGGGCGGTTGTTGTTGTGTGTGTGTGTGTGTGTGTCTCTCTCCTGTGTTTTTCCCACTGTGCGTTGATCCCGCTCTCAGCGCGTGTGGAATGTAGCGCGAGCTCTAAAAACACGACCAAGCACGCCACCGGCCGTCTGATGAAGGGACCTACCGGAAATGAGCTCATCAGGAAAGGATACAAACTAGGTGTGGACATTGGATGTATTGTTGATACATTATGTGTAATGTATGCAAAGTTGTTATTCATTAATGTCAACTCTGAATTGTTTGCAATAAAAAAAAAATACAAACTAGGTGTGAAACATTCAATAGAGGAAAACATGGTTATGACCATATAAATACTGTATACCCGATAAAGTGAAAGAAGTGCATTTTTTAATTTTGCATAATATAATATACCCTTGTAACGCTTTTGTGTCGAAATTCTGTGATTTAGCTGATATATGCACCTTCTGTAAAAAAAAAAAGAAAGTGAAGATATCTGTCATTTATTTTCCTCTTGTAATGTTTCAGCACTTTTCTGGAAAGATTTGAGTTCCTATTGTTTTTCTAAAGTTAATATGAACTGTAATTTACACATTAAGGATGTTGTTTGCTTTTTTGAAAACCAAAACAAATCTTTAGAATCTGCTGTTAACTTTCTTATCCTTGTGGCAAAATTCTATTTGAAGTGTCTTAAGAAAATACCAACTTTTATAGATTTCTTATGTGAAGTAGAACATTAGAAAGAGTAATTAATAACAAAAAATGTATTTCTTTTTTGAAGAGATATGATGAGATCTTTCATGTACCGTGATTAATACTTGTTTTTTTTTTTTTTTTAAATCCTCCTTTCTTTATTTGTTCTGTTCCTGCCTTTCTTTACGTTCAAAAAAGCTATTTAAATGCATCTTTCTCTTTTAACAGTCATTGTCAACCATATGTTCAGATGACATTGGATGTATTGTTGATACATTATGTGTAATGTATGCAAAGTTGTATTTCATTAATGTCATCTCTGAATTGTTTGCAATAAAAAAAATACAAAAAATACAACTAGGTGTGTGCACCTCTTGTTAGGTCTACTACGAAATGGATAGACAATAAATATGGGTATTAACTTTTTTTTTATTTAGGGTAAAATGTATGAAACATGGCATTTTTATTTTTGACTTCTCTGTAGAACTGCTATCATAAAATAGTGTATTTTTTATACCCACACCACTGTCGATCAAAATGAGTGCTTTTTCCACACTATAGAATAGAATTCTAATGGAAACTAAACATATTAATCTGTGTGTGTGTGTGTGTGTGTGTGTACAGGTATATATGGTTTATGAGGACACAAATGTGTATAATGACATGGGTACTACAACGTAAACATGGTTTATGAGGACACTTCCTGTGTCCCCGTAAAACAAAAGGCTTAAAAAACATACAAAACGGTGTTTTATGAAATTCAAAAATTGGCAGCAGTTTCCTGTGAGGGGTAGGTTTAGGGGTAGGGTTGGTGTAGGGCAATAGAATATACAGTCTGTACAGTATAAAAACCATTACGCCTATGGAGAGTCCCCATAAACCAAAAATACAGGACTGTGTGTGTGTGTGTGTGTGTGTGTGTGTGTGTAGGCCTATGTGTGTCTGTTCAGTTGAGGATACGTCTCTCTTCTTCCTCACTAACAATACATATGCTATTATTAGAGTTTCACAATGGCTACTTCTGGCCTGCCTAAACATAACTGTTTTTACTTAAAAGGACAGTTCACCCAAAAATTCTAATTCTGCCATCATTTACTCAATCCCACTTGTTTCAAACCTGAATGAGTTTATTAATTCTGCTGAACACAAAAGAAGGTATTTTGAAGAATGTGGGTAACCACATTCGATAGACGGTAGCCACTGACTTCTATAGTATGGGGGGGGGGGGGGGTGGGGGGGGTTTTTTTGGGTGCTACTCCCTC